AGAACCCTACAAACCCAGAATATCCTGAGTTTGAATGGATCCAATAGGTTGGCTTTTAGGAAAAAACAAAGCCAGGGATCCCAGCAAAATTCCCCAAACTCAGTGCCTGCCCCACATCCCATTGTCCCCATGCCTCTCAACTGAAGGCACTTACCGTGCTCGCCGCTCCCGGTAGTCATAGACCTGCACAGCAGCATTATGGGGCACCTGATATGTGACAGCACGGGTCCGGTCCCGTTCCTGGACCCCAAAACTGGGGCCTGAAGATGACTGGATGCCCAAATCTTGACCAGCTGTGTCCCCACGAGCCTCAGCCAACAGGGTCTCAACCCCTTGGGGCAGCTCCTTCTCCCACAGCTCCTCGGCCTCCGTCAGCATGTAGGTCTGCCCCGTCACCACCCGCACCTGTATGGAAACCAGTGTGAGGCTAGGGTGTCACCAGGAATACTAGGAGGACTGGAAGAGGTGTCTGAAAGGATTCGTGGGGTACGTGGAACTCCTGGATGGGGCTTAGGGGCACTGGAAGAGGATTTCAGGCCTACTGGGAGTACTGGGAGAGCATGTGGAGGCACAGAAAGGGCTACTGAGAGCAGCTATATGGGATACTGGGAGCTCTAGGATGAGCTGTGGGAAGTGTCTGGGGGCACTGGGATGGGATTTGGGGAGTGCAAAGAACACTTGGAAGGGGCTTGGGGAAACTGAGAGGGAATTATGTGTGCTGGGGGACACTGGGAGAGACTGGAAAGGTGTGTGGGGGCACTAGGGAGGGGGACTGTGGGGGCACTGGGAAGGGATTGTTGAGGGACTGAGAGAGGAAAGGGGTTACTAGGAGCCCTTGGAGGGGTATCCAAAGGGATGTGGGGGGCTCTTGGAGATCCTAGATGGGCTCTGTAGGTACTGGAAGCAGCTATATGGGATACTGGAAGCACTGGGATGAGCTGAGGAAGGTTTCTAGAGACACTGGAAAGCAGTGTGAGGGACACTGAGGTAGGTTTAGGGGCACTGAGCACCCATGGGGTCTGTAGGAACAGGACTCTCACCTTGCCGGTACGGATGTCCCGCACATAGATGCCCTCATTCTCAGCCAGGGCCAGTGCACGGCGTCGCTCCAGCACAGTCACCTCAGCTGGTGGCACGTACTCGAGAGGACCCCGGGCCAACCAGCGGTCCCCTGCACGCCGTATCACCTCCGTCCCATCCTGAGGATGCAGCGGTGGCATCAGCACCAACCTGGGGACATGGGATGTGGGGACCCTACCCAATCGCTGGCTGGGGATGTGGGACCTCCCGAATCTCCCAGGTGTCCCCCTGTCCCCAGGTATCATCATGTATCCCAGGTGCCCCCTATGCACCTCACCTGTTCCCATGTACCCCAGGCGTCCCCCATGAACCTCACCTGTCCCCACCTGCCTCCAATGCACCTTACCAATTCCAGTGTTCCCACGAGTCTCCTTTGCTCCCCCCCCCCAGTTCCCCCAGTTGTTCCCTCTGTCCCCCATTCGCCCACCACCCCCAGTCTCCACCACGTGATGCTATGAGCTTCAGTGTCACCTCGTCAGTGTCCTTGATTGTCTGCAGAGCCTGAAGAAGTAGCCCCTCATCCTCAGAGAGCACATAGACATCCTCGATGCCAGCCTGGAGCCTCTCACCCGGCTGCAGGAAGAAGGATTTCTCCCCCTGGGGACACAGGAACATCACCTCAGGGATTTCATGTGCTCTCAGGAGTAAATTAGGGTCCCTGGTGGCCACTGGCCACCCCTGAGATATCTTGGGGATACCTATGGGTACATCAGAGCCACCTGCAGGTCCCTGAGGTCCATCTACATGGTCCTCTGGGGTACCCAACTTGTCCTCAAGGACCTGCAGGTGACATCTCTGTGGTCCCATGAGGTGTGCACCTTGATCACACGCTTCTGTCCCAGCTGGGGCTGCCCGTTGGGTCCCACAGGGTCGAGCACCACGCAGTACTGTCGAGGACCCAAAGTTGTCACCAGCACCTCAGCCACCACCTCCTCGAAGACATCAGGGACGTAGGCCTCACTCTGCTCCTGTGTCACCAGCCACTCCTCTCCTGTGCGGCGCACATGTCCCTGCGCATCCTCAAAGGTCCGGGTAGCTCGCAGGTGGAGGGCTTTCTGTGGGACAATGAGATCAAAGCGCATGATGGGACCCCAATTCTGTCCCAGAGGGTCTTTATCACCTGCATGTGCTAGGAGACAGAGTGATGGGACACCTAAACTTGTCCCAGATTTGGGTTCAGGGAAAAAAAATCCTGGAGTGTCCCTGTCACCCATGGGTGTAGAGGAGACCACAGGGGATCCCATGTCCCTGTACCTTGTCAGTGAGGACATAGGCATCCACAACATCGACCACCTCCTCGTAGACCCCTGGCAGGTAGGCACCCACCCGCTTCACCAGCCACTCCTCACCTGGAAACAGTATTATGGGGTGATCAAGGAGTTAAGAGGGCTGGTGCAGACTGGGGGAGACAGGGAGGGCTGGGGAGATTTGGGTTGGGAAGGGGTCTGAAGGGTGCTGGGGGTCCTGTGGGACAAACCTAGGGGTGTCTGGAGTCCTAAGGGTGGGACTGGATGATCTCAGACGTCATTAGGGTGGGATGAGACAACTCCAAAGGTGGGAAGGGACAAAACTAAGGGTCGTTAGGGTGGGATGGGATGACCTCAACGGTGTCTGGGATCACGAGGGTGGGATGGGACTATCCCAAGGGTCATTTGGGTGAGAAGGGACAATCCCACTGGTCATCAGAGTGAGATGGGATGATCCCAAGGGCCATTGGGGGGGGAAAAGACAATCCCAAGGGTACTACCTGTGACACGCCGCGTGCCCTGACGGTCGAGGCACTCCTTGCGTGCCCTCAGGCGGATGGCCTGGTTGTGCCTGATGACGGTGGCCTGCAACGTCTCAACCACCTCTACCTCCTTGTGGGGGATGTAGGTGCCTGTGGAGCTGGGGCACCATCAGCAACCCAAGATGTCCCCAAGGTGTCCTTAAAGTGTGCCCCTTGCTCACCAGGACCCTCGAAGAGCCACTCATCGCCTGCCACAAACTTGTTCCCATCCTCATCCTCAAAGTCAAGCAAGGCTCGAAGGCGCAGGGCAGTATCAGCCAGCACCACCTGCAGCGGGGTGACACCCTGTGGACACAAGGGTCAGGGCTGAGGGTGACATCCTGGGGACACAGAGGTCAGGGCTGAGGGTGACAACCTAGGGATGTCTGGAAGACAATGGGGGACAGAAGTGACGGTGGCATGGCAGGGGGCATAGGGGAAAAGGTTTCTCTGGGACATGACCTCAGGACATGGGGGTCATGACAAGTCTATCAGAGGGATGCAAGGGTCCTGGTAGGGCAGTGGCAGGTACTCAGGCACAAAGCAGGGACAAGGGGAACACATGGAGGGCTATGGGAAGCTGTGGGAGTTCTACAGGAACGATTATAGTCAATGAGACAGCTATAGACAGTTTACAGGATGTATAGCAAACTGAACAGAGGGGTCAGAGGAGCTATAGGGGATTACAGGAGGAGCTATAGAGGCTATGGAAGGACACAGAGAAGAGTTGCAGAGGGGGACCTGGGAGACTATAGAATCTATAGGAGACCATGGAGGGGAAGGTAGAGGACTTATAGGGGGACTATAAGAACCACAGAAGCTATAAGGTGTTGTGGAGCTTCTGAAGAGCTGAAGGAGAATGTGGGCTGGGAAGATTACCAGAAACTAACTATAGGATCTCTGGGATGGCTGCTGGTGAGCTACAGATGCTCCAGGAATCATGAAAACCTAGAAGAGCTATACAAGCTAAGGGGGATCACATCAAACTGCAAACTACAGATGCTATATAAGACTAAGCTAGTGTATACTGTCACACACTGAAAAAGCTACAGGAGGCTGTGGATAACCCCACAGGGGGCTACAGGGAGCTGTAGGCACCCTGAAACCCATAGGTAGAGGTGCTGGAAGTCTTTGCAGGGTGGCAGGGAAAGGATAGCTGAGGTTATAGGGGGCTATAGGAGCAATGTAGGGTGGCTATGCGTACCTGCTGGAGCTCCTCACCGGGGTACAGGGGAAAGGGCTCCTGGGTGAGGCGGACATCAAGGTCAGCATGCCGCAGCTGGGCCTGCCCCGCACCATCGAACAGCACAGCTCCCGTTGGACCCCGGGCCACAGGATTGAGCACCACGCAGTAGTGCCGGGGGGGAACTATCACCATACGCTTGGGGGAAAAGACCACCCTGCAGGTGCCCCCGCACATCTGCCATCAGCTCTGTAGGACTGTTGGAGCTCCACAGCACCCCTCACATACTCCACAACCCTTGTTTCACCCCACAGACCTCCCATGGAACTCTAAGGACTCATGGAACACAACCAGATAGAAGAGGCCTCCATGATCATACAGAATTCCTATAACTGTACAGAGCCCCCCACTGACCTACAGAGCCCATCACGGCCCTAGATGTGGGACTGGGTCTCTCCAGCCCACTGCTTGAACCCCAGGCAGGTACCTCTCATGGTCCTGCCGGATGTAGGAGTGAGGTCCAACCTCCACACGAGTGACATTGCTGTTGAGGTCCAACACGTGGATGTAGTGGTAGGGGGGTATGCGGATCACAGGGTCCTCCATGGGGAAGAAGACTTCCTCACAGTGGAGCAGGAGACCTTGCTGGAACGTGCTGTGGAGCAGAACAGCTCGATGAGGCTCAGCGTAGGTGGTAGACCTTGAAACAGGGTAGAAAAATTGTCATGGGGCACCTTGAAATGTGTGAGGGGAAACCTCCAAAGGAGTGGCAGGACCTGCTGTGGGGCAGAAGAGCTTTGTGCCAGGCAAATGAGGGAGAAGGAGACCTCACCTGGGGCAGAGGACCTCACCGCGGGGCACAACACCCGGCTGTGGGGCAGGAGGACGCGGAAATGACTATTTTTAACTTTTTCTTTTCTACTTCCCTTTGGTCTGGCCCAGCCCTGCTGGCAGACGGGGCCCGGCCCATCGGGGCCGCCCCAGGGCCGGGTTTCCACACCCGAAATGCCGCACCCCGGGCAAGGTTCGCCCTCAGGAAGGATTTATGCCGCGTTGTAGGGCTGCAGGTAACGGATTAGGATCAGGATGAGAATTATGCGGTTGGCTGAGCCCGAACGGCGCTGGCAGCCCCCAGGCAGGCCCTGCGCTGTCTCTAGGCAGCCGGCGCCGCCATGACGTCCGCTTCCCCGGAAGGGGGGGAGGAAGAAAGGGGGCGCGGGCGTTCCCGCTGCTTCCGCCTTCCGCCGCAGAGCGTGTTCCCATTGGCTGTAAGGGCGGGAGGGAGGAAGGCTGAGGGAGGGGCGGGGGGGAAGCGGTGGGAAGGGTCGCGTTGGAGGGGCAGCGAAAAAGGGTCAGAGGCTGCTGGGGGCTGCAGAGGACACCGAGTGCCGCCTCGAGGTACTGTCGCTCCCTGGTGTCACCAGCGTCGCTCCCTGGGGCTCTGTGTCAACCCAGGTTTCACCCAGTGTCACCCACTGCCGCCTCCTGAGGGGCTTTCGATCCAGGGGTCACCTTAGGGGCTGTGTGATCCCTGCTGTCACCGCTGCCACCCTCCGAGTGGGTTTTGTCATCCCTGCTGTCACGCAGTGCCGCCTCCACACCTCAGTGCTGCGTTCAATCCGAGTGAATGTCACAGAATCTTGGAGTAACGGAGTTACTGCAGGGATAACAGGAGACACGTGGACCCCTTTGTCCTTCTCATTGCTCCTCCTGTTGCTCCTTCCTTCCTAATTCCTTTCCTCGTTTCTTTGGTCCCTTCTTTGTTCCTTTCCAATTTCTTTACTATTCTTTGCTTGCTCCTTGCCCAACCCTTTCTCTGTCCTTTTTCCCATCCCTTTCTCATTTCCTGTCCCACCCCATGTCCATTCCTTCCTTGTTCCTTGTGCACTTCTTTACTATTCCTTGCTTCTTCCTTTCCCATTCATTTTTTTTCTTTTTTCTCCCCCACATTTCACCCCTCTTTTCCATTTTTTTTGCACTTCCCTTACCCATCTCTTTGCCTTCTTTTGCCCCTAGCAGTGTCCCTGGGCTCCAAACTGGAGGAGCACGTTGTCATTGACACACTGTGGTCATCCTGAACTGGTGCTTCAAGCAGAGACTGCTCAACATGAGGAGGATCTGCATGTTCATGCTGGACAAGGCTGGACCTCATGATTGACATGCAGGACTTTTCCTCCCAGAGCATCCACATCCAGAGATGGATCACAGAAACCTGCTTTTGGCACAGGAAAATGCAAAAGGGGAGAGTTAGAAGGTAAGATTTTTTTATAAAGGGCTCACTTTATCCAAAATATAAAATTTTCCATTAAAGACTCACTTTATCCATTATTAAAATGTAAGAGTTTCACACAAAAGTGCCAAAGAGCTGCTAGTGCTAATGAGTCCTCAATACTAATGAGTTCTGAGGGCTAACAGGTTGTCAGTCTATTCAATCCCAATTGCTATGTAGCTCCTCTTTTTAATGAATCCTTAGTGCTAATGAGCTGCTAGGGCAAACAAGTTTTTCTCCTGCCCCAGGGCTCTCCTAAAAGACTGACAGATGCTGCTTTTCTCTGCCACCTTCTGTAAAATGTGTGGAAGTTCACCTTGCAGATCATCTCCAGATCCATCATCATCAAGCTGCGGCAGGAGAAGCTTGCCCTAACCAACACCAGGCTACTGCTTTGTCTGCAGGAACTGGGAGCAGAAGTATGCAGCCCTCTGCAACCGCTATGGCAGCATTTCCAGGCCTTAATGTTCTGCCAGGTACAGCTCATTGGTAAGCAGTGAGCTGCCAGTGATCCATCTGACATGATCAAGCCCAGTGTGATGTCAGCTCTGCTTCAATGATCGCCAAAAACGAGGGAACAAGGTGCAAGGGACGGATGGGAAACACACAGTGAGAATTAAAAGCTCAGAGTGGTAACAGCATCTAATAGTTGGAACCAAGCCAGTTGCTTGGCTTTCGTGGTGGGCATTACGTGGAAACCATGCTCTGTTCCCTCAACCTTTGTGTTCAAAAGCATTTGGTGACCCAATTTCTTTCTTTCTTTTTTTTTTTTTTTTTTTTTTTTTGCCTTATTTTGAGGCTCTGCCTATTCCAAAGCACCAGAGACTTGGAAAAGAGCAGGGGTGTTGGGAATATGTGGGACTGGCAGCGAGGGAGTAAGGATTTGGGTAAAGTGATGGACAGGCTTTAAGTTAGAGGAACAATAGTAGGGATTTGGAGAAGTTAAAGGTACATAGATTGAAACCAACAGTTGCAGAGCTGCTGGAGAAGCTTGGTTGCCTTCTTTCATCCATGCAGACCTGCTGGAGGGCAGACTGACTCAGTGAAGATGATTCTAGATGGGCACTGAGTCGTCCTTCATTCATTCTGTCTCCCTTTTTTCCAAACCATCTGTTAGGAAAAGTTCTGCTGAGAATGAACTTTTATGCATGTAGAGAAAGGAATAAAAAAAAAATAATAATAATCTCAAGGAATCCATACCTAGTGACGCAAAGAGAAGCGTGGAAGATTCAAAGTCTTGGCCTGAGAAAATTATTTGGTCAGCAATATAAAAAATGGAGAGAGCAGACAGTCAAGACCAGAACTGTAGATTTGCCAGTAATCAAGCCAGATGCTTAAGATTTTGATGGTATATTTGTGGTGACAGGGAGGAGTGTGTTAAGTGGTGCACATTAGATAAGCTAGGCATCACTTGGAAACCTGTGTGCCTGGAGCACTTAGTGTCATGCTCAGGGTGCTGCCAGGGTAGAGGTCCTGTCCACAGGAAGAAATGAGCAAGACATATGGAAGGACGGGGAGCCACATTTTAACCTTGAGTTGATGGCTAGATAGGAAGGATCTTGGAGCACTAACTTGGTCTAGGGAAGAGAAACCAGAAGTGTAACTGGATGTGAGTTCTCCTCTTTTGCTGTTGTCTTGTCTGCCCACCTCAGCTTGGGCAGAGCCATGGAAGCCCTCAGTCTTGTTCTCCCAAGGGATTCTGTTCGATGCTGGAACTATGAAAGTAGGTTTATGCTCCCACCCCAGGGAGCTGGGTAACTTCCCAGTTCTGAGGCACGCAGGTGGGAGAGGGCAGGCCACTGCCTCTGCCCCTTTCTGTCTCTGCTTAATGGCAGCATTTCTTCTTCTTCCTGTCAAGACCCTGCTCAAGAAGTTGTCTCACTCCAATCTATAGGAGGGAGAGGAGGTTCTTTTGTTGTCTATCTACTCGGTGTGAAACAACAGTTCAAATGTTGGTCCGACCAGTTTATTACAAATCTTCATTAGGGAAATGGGGAAGGGGAGGACGGACACTATTATGAATTAGAGTAATGGGGAAGGGAAGGAGGGCGATAGAAAAGATAGGAAAGAAGAAAAGAAGAAGCAAGGAGTCTTTATAGGAAGCAAGAGGGAGATGATCACCACCATGGATCCAGCGTGGTTTGTAGTTCAGTCATTGATCTTCAGTAGGGTGGGTGGTCAGACAGAGTTGGTCTGTTGATGACGGCGACGACAACGACTGTGGCAATGATGGCCCCTTTTCAATGGTTTCAAAGCAGCCGAGTCAGCTGTCTTTGGAGTGACAGCTCAAATCCACAGTGGTTGAGTCAGCTCTCCTTGGAGTGGCAGCTTCTGGCTCTGGGATCTCAGCAGAAACTCCTTTGTTCTTCCGGGCCTTGCCAGCAGATAAGAGGGAGCAGGGATGCCCATCTGCATCCTGTTTTTCACGGGACACAATGGTATCATTCCCCAGTTTTCCCATACCTAGCTGGAGCTGTTTAGTCACAGGCCAGATCTTCCGCCAGTGAACACTCCCGAGTGCTCTCTTCCAGAGGCAAGCAGCTCTGGAGGAAGGGGCTTTCAAATGTTCCCAAAGCGATATCGATTGTCACACGGTTAGCACCCATCACTTGCCTCCTCAACAAATCGATCAGAGTTTTATCACACAAAATACCTCAGGAAGCAAGCTTTGAGCCAAAAACAAACAAACAAAAAAAAAACCAAAGAAGGATTCTCGCAGAAGTACATTGTAGTTGTAAGGAATTACAGATTTTATTTTAAACAGTCAGTCTTGGGGTGTGGAGCCTTGAAAGACATGTCTCAGATAGTAGTGTTGCAGAAACACAGGCCGTATCCTTGCCTCCAGCCATGACACTTGGGAAACCCTCACTGGAAGCCAGTCGGAGCTGACTTACATGCGCTTGCTAATTCAGAGGGAAAAACGGTTTTGTGTTTGAGGTGGGTTTCAGTTATTTCTCAGGCTTTTGCTTTGATGCTCAACTGATGCTTTCGAAAGTTAATTTGGTTATTTATTAACGAGGCTGTCTTACTGCAAGCAAAGACCTCATGGAGCTCAATATATATCTCGTTCCACAAATTTTTATTAGAAAGAATGAATACTACAACTTTGCAAGGATTTTAGCAGTATGTAAATCTTCCATGATAAACTAGCTTTAGCTACAGAAATTACAGGGACCAACACTTATTTCTGCTGGTTCATTTATAATTTACACCAATGTCATACTTTGCCCATGGTAATAAATTCCATTCATGATGCAGTTCTAGTTTCAGTTTTGATGATAAAACAGAAGTGTCTGCAGTGGTCTGTTGCAGCGGAGCGTTCTCAAGGCTGGGATTGCTGTTCTCTGTACACTGCCTTCCTTCTCTATGTGCTCACTAGTGAGTTTCTAACCTTAAGTATATTACTAAAAATGTTGAAAGCATTCTTGCCCTTAAAGTGAGCAAGGTAGCAAGCTGAGGAGCAGACTTGGGGTCACATTTTCATTGCAGTAATGGTTTCAAGGCTCTTGCTTGCTTCTATCAATACTGTAAAATAAAAATCTTTTGCAAGAGAAAAACTTCAGTGCATTTTTTTTCTCTTTGTTATTTCTGAAATGCTGGCTACCACACTTGAAGTGAAACAATATGAGTAAGTGACAAATACACAAAGGTTTTTCTGGAGAGAGCAAGGTCTGATGTGGAGGGTTGAACTATTAAATCAGCCAGTTGAATGAAGTTCCCATTACTTCATTCTACATTGCAGAGTTCTCCATTAGCCACATAAAGAACACTGGAACTATAAAGTAAAAATGCTATGCTGCTCTCTGCAGAAAAAAATGGCCTGTAGAAATAATGGACAGTGAGGGGAGGGGTGGGAGGAACTCAGAAGAGCTCTGTGCAGACAGTAGCGTACAGGTTTTGCTGAACTGCTTACATGAAATGATGTTTCAGGCTCGATCATAACTGTGTAGTCGAAGTAGTCACATGCCACACAAAACTTTCCTCCAAAGTCTCAGAAGATAGTTTGATGCTACATTGTGATGGCCAAGTGCAGGTTCAAGAAGTGAAAAGTCTCACAGTAGCTTTCTCACCTTCAGTTGCTTTGTAGCATGAATTGATTTTGCATGGTTTGTTAGACTTACCGTGGTTGTTGGCATCGAGGAGTAAGTGCAGCTGTTCTGCTGAAACACCTGCAGCCTGTTCTCTGCATTATCCATGCATATGACGGGGAGGTCAGCACCAGAATGACAATCTTGTCTCATTTCCATAAGAACTTTATCTAACTTATTTTTTCTTTTTTTCTGGGCTCAGATTTACAGAAGTGCAGGAAAACAGGCTTTTGGTTTTCTTTATTTTTGTCCAAATTAATTTCCAAAGGAAACGCTGCATTTGTGAAAACGAGGAGTAAGCATGGAAGCTATGGGTAAGTTTTCCTGAAACAGCACATCAGTTTTGCAAGTCTGAGCAAGGTGTATTCCAAAATGTCTAATTGAAATCTTCCCCTTTGGTAGAGCTGTTCACAATTTGGTCACATGTCCTATGTTTGTACTTCCCAAGGGCGTCTCTCCTCACCCCTCATTTGTTTGAGTAGAAGCCCAAGCTTTTTGTTTATTGACTGGAGAAGTGTACCAACCAGAGCAACTCCTGCACACCAATCTCTTCCAGAGAAGCATCCGATTTGAGGAAGGATAACTGTGAGAAGTTCAGAATTATCATTTCAAAGAAATGAATCTCAGAACTTGCTCACAGCTGTTCTTAGTTCCTGTTGATGGCAATCAGAGCTAAGTTTTATTTTGTCATTAATATATCATTATAATGCTCTCCTGTTGTTTTTTTTAAAATAATTTATTTTCTGATTTTGGGAAGAAACTAATGTTCCTGAAATGTTCCTGAAAAACTTTATAGGATATTGCATATTATGCCTTGTCTCAACCTTGGTTATTTTCTAAGTCTCAGTCCCCAAAGTATCTCAGTCAGAAGAAAACTGACTTGGTTGTGTAAGGCTGTTAGTGACCTCTGCAGACTGACCTCCTCTCTCCTGTATCTGCAAATCTCGGCTCTTTCCCTAATCCCTGAATCTGCTCCACAAAGCCCTGCTGCAAATTCTCACCCTGCACACTGTCTCAGCTCAGCTAATGGTGGTGTTTCCCTCTATTGGGAACATCCCGGTTCTTCCCCAGCTCTCCCCACCTCCTGCCCTCTTCCCAACCCAGCTCAGCCCAGCAGCCCAGTGGCAGTGCCCACTGCTGGGTATGCAATGCCACCACAGCCCAGAAGCTCTGAAGGCACAGCAGCTGTTAGGCTGGGGCTGTGGCCTGGGGAAACAGAGGTCAGTGAAGCTCCAGGCCCAGAAGACCCCCAGCACAGACTGCCTGTGCCAGTGCCATCCTCTTCTCAGCCTAGCACAAGAGTCCTGGCCCAGCACAGCCTGCCCCCAGCAAATGCCTGCAGAAATAGCTTTCTCTTTCTCACCTGTCCCTCCCTGAAGGCACAGAAATGCTCTCTTGCTCTTCTCCTGAGCCATCCCTGCTCCTGGAGAGCCTTGTCCAGGGCAGCTTGTCCATGCTGGCCTGGCTGGCTGCTCCTGGTTCCCTCCCCGTGTTCCCCACAAGGCCCTGATCTGGTGGTACTACTCTGCAGTGATGGATCTGTGGTGACCCTGCCCAGGTTATGCTGCTCAGGGTGGGCAGCAGACACAGATGGATGGAGATCTCTGCTGCCTCTTGCCATCTAATCTAATCTAATCTAATCTAATCTAATCTAATCTTG